ATTATGAAAAGTTGTTAAACTTCGCTTTGGAAATTCAGAGTTCATATTGATTCTGTGATGCTGTTGCTGTTACTGTTGCTGCTTTTGCTATTTTCTGTTGTATCTTGCTGATATTCTCTTTAATATTCAGAGATTTATTTTCTTTATGTATTTTGGCTATCCTCAGGTATGTAGCTTGAGCATTTGTTCTTCTATTGGCTGTATACATGAAGCTCGAAAATGGTTTTTGGACCTCACATTGATGCATACGTTGTTTGTTTAAACTTCAGTTGCGGTTTTATTCTGTCCAGTCCTTGGTCGAATATGTAATGTTAAATATTTTGATTAAATTTTTGAGTTAGGGTAAGCTATTTAAATTTTGAGTTGTATTTTTGTTGTCAAGGTATATATTTGCAGTTTTTTTTTTATATAAAATGATTACTGCTGGATGTTCAAAGTGCTATGAAATATGCATATACGTTTTCATTTCAGTACTTCGTCAGATGATTTTTGTTTGTTAACCATGTAGCTTGCAAGTTGATGTTAATTGCTTGATGAAGTGTGTCTTTGGAGTATGTTGTATATCTCAGTAGCCTCTATGGAAATGAATAATCTTTATGATATATACTGAATGTAATTTTGGTATAGTTGGACTAGTAATAATGTTGCAAGCATTTGATTAAGTTTGTAAAAGGAACTTCCTTTAAAATTGAGCTTAAAATCCAGCGTGTGTTCTTTTTGAGCCGATTTAGATTCGGCCCAGTTCACTTATTGAACCCATCACTGATCCTAGTGTAAGGAAACTTTAATTGAGATAGTCACTTGTTCAGTGCCTTTCTGTTATTTGTTAATTTGAATTGATCAAGAGATTAACTCTTATGAGAGAACCTAAGCTAGTAATGGAAATTGCAATTCAGATTGTTTTCATTTTAAACATGTTTCATTTAGCTCTTTAATTCGTATGGGTTATAACTGGACAGACATGGAATCGATATCGGTAAAATAATTGCTTCTAATTCTTCCATAATAGAACTTTGTTTAAATTAAAAAGAACTAGCTGAGTCCCACATGTATGTTACCATAATATTTGAACCTCACATGCACATCTCAAACTTTAGGATAACAGAATTATAAACATTCGCAGTTTGCTTTAGGCGCGATTAATAAATTATCGTGACTATGGGTACGATTCCCGTGGCATAGTTATGATACGTAACTCCAATTCGAGTGTGCGTTTCACGTGACTCGACTACAACTTCAAACAATAATAAAAATAAGCATGTCGTAAATCGCGGGTACATTTTATGTGGCGCGGTTTGCAACGTGTGCCAAAATGATAAGTGTACGACATCGTGACTTGTTCCAAAAATAATTTTATAAATAATTAAAAGCGGTTAGAAGATAAACAATGTACCGTAAGTTTTCAAATATGTATTAAATCAGATAATTAGGCCAATTATTAATAGTTGAGCGACCGTGCTAAAACTACGGAACTCGGGAGTGCCTCACACCTTTTTCCGGGTTAACAGAATTCCTTACTCGGTCTTCTGTGTTCGCGGACCATAAATAGAGTCAAATTTCCTCGATTTGAGATTTAAAATAAACCGGTGACTTGGGACACCATAAATTATTCCAAGTGGCGACTTTGATATAAATAAATAATCTCATTTCGATTAATGTCACTTGAATTGGAAAAACTCCCCTACCCCCGCGGGAAAAAGGAGGTGTGACAGGTATTACTAATAATTGACTTAAGAATCTTTTACTTTCTTTGAAATATTAATTTCAAGAAAAATTATCAGTTATGTCCATTTATAAGTAGCTTATTATAAAAATTGGTCAATTCACAAAATATTACTAATATTAGCCAATTTACTATTTGTAGCCAAAAAATGTTAACTTTTTACTTTCTTTTGAGTGGGTGTTACTAAAATAGATTGGGTATATCTTAAGAAGTTTGAATGGGGAAAAACGTAACCCTGCCAACGAAAATATAAAACCTCAATACTTAGAATAGATAGTGTATAAAGAGATTGCCTTTTAAATTTCTTACTAAGAATTTTATAAGTATACTGGCTTGAAGGTTTAGAGGTTCCGAATTCAAGCTTGGAAATGAAGAATTTTATAATAGAGAGTATTTTACTTCATGCATGAATCCGAATTAGTCGAGCTTGTAAGTAGTTTCAAAAACTGAAAAGCATAATAAAAATTATTTTATTAGTATAATAATAATAATAATAGCAAAAAAGCAAATCAACGTATTAGTTTCGATTTGATAAATCTCATACTTTCTTAACGCAGACAAAGATAAAGTCCTTATTTCAACAAACAAAAGTTTAAAATATTTTAAAAACCAATGAATAATGTCCTTATTTGAAGGTGTAGGGACAAAATTATTTTCCGTCCATTTTTCTCTTTCAATACAAACATGTAAGTTTTTGCATAACACGTGATGTGTTCTATGGGCACATTCATAACATAGATTTAAAAAGAGATAATTTACCGTGATTTTAAAAAATTTAAAAAGAGAAAAGAGTCATAATCTGAAGGGTGAAATATAATAGGCATTAGATTCATTCAATTGAAATATGAAGGAAGATGTGTGTGATACAAAGTTGGAGGAAAATAATGATTTTCACCCTACAATAATTGCTTAACATTTTTGACAATATTTATTATTTAATTAAAATAAATTGGGGGGGGGGGGTGAAAAAGGTAGGTAATTGTTGAAAATATTTTGATATAATTTTGAGTAAAACACATAACACCACTATAATATAACTCATTATGGCTACACCATATATATTTCAAAATCAAACACAAACATATTTACATAGTAAGGATTTTGCACACACTATATATATGGAGTTAAGTATTTCAAGATGCCGGGAGAGGAACAATTTATAAGATTCTAACTTTAATTCTGTATGTCCATCAAATAACTTAATAAATAGATAAGATTACTCCACTAGAGTTTGGCATAAAATTGACCACCCATAAAAAATCATATTCTAAAATTGATCGATAATGGTAATGAGAGGTGGTTTGGTGATAGAAGCTGGTGTTTTTGGGTGGCAAAAGAAGAAGAGTAAATTAATACTATAACCTTTTTGGCCAAGCTTTCTTTTGTCAAAAAATATTTTTTTCCAAAAGTTAAAGGTGTTTTTCTTCCCAAAAGCATCTTTCTAAACAGTATTTTTGAGAAAAATACACTTATAAACACTTTTTAAAAGCTTGGTTAAACACTAATTGCTATATTTTCAAATTGGTTAGCCTATTAAATTATTTTTCACCAAAAATACTTTTTTTTGAAAAACTTTTCTGAAAAGTATTTTTGAGAAAAATAATTTTCAAAATAAGTTGATTTTAAAAGTTTCACCAAACATGCTATAAAACAGACTGAGTTTTTTGGTTATTAGAGAAGCAACTTTTGGTTCCGTTTTGAAAAAAATTGTGACAAGTTCTAAAAAGGAAAATTTATCTTTCCTTGTGTAAAAAAGGAAAATTCACTCCCTTTTGCAAAAGGACTCGTAGTTAACAAAAAAAAGAAAGAAAGTATTCAGTATAAATAGTTCATATAGCAGGGCTCGTGCAAGTATTACGAGGTTGTTGAGGTTTGAGTAAAAAGATGATGAGAATGAATTGTTACATCCCTTTTGTACTCAACAAAGCCAAAGACATGTCTCATGAGAAAAAAGTTGTTAAGTTGCATTCTCTAGCCAATGGTCTTACTTATAATTCTAAACTTTGGGATTCAGTTAATCTTGAGCACCCTTCAACTTTTGATACACTAGCATTAGAACCAACACTAAAGAAATCCATAATTGAGGATCTTGATAGGTTTTTAAAAAGGAAAGATTTTTATAGGAGAGTAGGAAAAGCTTGGAAAAGAGGATACTTATTGTATGGACCACCAGGGACAGGGAAATCAAGTTTGATTGCAGCAATTGCTAACTATCTAAAATTTGACGTTTATGATTTAGAGTTTTCTAACATAAGGAGCGATGCAGATTTGAGAAGGTTGTTGATCAGCACCAAAAATAGGGCTATACTTGTTATTGAAGACATTGATTGTAGCGTTGATTTGCCAGATAGAACTAAAAATCGCCCAGAATATGGTCAAGATAGGCTTACACTTGGTGGATTGCTAAATTTCATAGACGGGCTATGGTCGAGTATTGGAGATGAGAGGGTTATTATATTTACAAGGAGAAACTTGATCCAGCTCTGTTGCGACCTGGACGAATGGACATGCATATTCATATGTTTTACTTGACAATTGAAAGTTTTAAGGTGTTGGCAGCTAATTATTTGGAAATTTATGATTTGAATAATTATGGATATTTTCAAGAAATACAAGAGTTGATTGAAAGTGTTCAAGTTACCCCTGCTGAGGTTGCTGAGGAACTTATGAAGAGTGAAGATGCTGATGTTTGTCTTGCAGGTCTTGTCAATTTTCTCAAGAGTAAAAGGATCAGTAATACTGAAGAGGAGATAAATGATGATGCTACAAAAAAGGAGTAAATCTTTGAGTATAACATAATTCAATTGACCAAACGTTATTGTGTCTCTTTTACGTAAGTAGATTTTTTTTTGTTGCTTTATTTATTGTTGTTCAAAGTTTGTTTTGTTAATTAACTTTCGTATGACACTTTGGTTATTTCAATTCCAATATTATATTAGTCATAAAAGATTTTGTCTTTTAAAATAAAATAAAATTACGATGAAAATTGCATTTTAAATATTCATTATGTCCCAATTTATATGGCACTTTTTGTTTATCGAAAGTCAGTTTGACTAATCTTTGAAGCCAAATTGAATTAGAATAATTTAATATTTTAAAGTTAAAATTAGATATTCAAAAACTATATAAAAAGTATTATAATCTACGATTCTTCTCATATTAATATGATGAAAATATAACTTTTAAAATATTAGTCAAAGTTCATATAGTTTGAATCTCGGGGAGCAAAAAGTACTACATAAATGGGACATAAGCATTACCAATTACCACACGAGTATACGGGTAATCCAACCTCCCAATCAATATTGATGAAATTTTGATAGTTAGGACGAGAGAATTTGGATAATTAGGAATCAACACATATATAAGCGGATTTAGAGCTAGTTCGGTAGATTCAGCTGAAATCACGTTCCCCGTTGGAAGTGCAGATACATATGCAAAAAAATTAGTGACGTATCCGCATATCACAAAATCACACACAATATTCTAGATCACTAAATTCTCAATTCTGAATTCGCCTATGATTCCAACATCATTTCTTTTAATATGGATTAGCTGCTTGAATCCTCCTTTCTCTTCTCTTTTGCAGAAACCTCTGTAGGGATTTTCTTAGGGACAGCCCATAAGGGCTATGCAATTGAAACTGCAGAGACGGTGCTCTCAAATTTGACGCACTCATATTATATTTTTCTTCCATTTCTCGTCTTGCATGCCATAAGATGGCTAAGGCCTATACTTCAGAGAATCCAATAACAAATCGAATTAAGCATCTGAACAAATTTAGAATTACTAATATAAACAAAATTAGAAAGCAAGATATATATATATGCGCGATATATTCTCTTCAAACTTTATTTCATCAGTAGAAGAAGTCAACTTTTTATAAGAATTACGTCTCAATTCCAAACAATTTTAGTTTCTTAAATTAATAAAATACTAATTAATGACTAATAAAAAGGACAGCGGGGTGCACTAAGCTCCCGCTATATGCGGGGTCCGGGGAAGAGTCTGACCATAAGGGTCTATCGTACACAACCTTACCCTACATTTCTACAAGAGGTTGTTTCTACGGCTCGAGCATGTGGCCTCCTAGTCACATGACAACAACTTTACCAATTGCGCCAAAGCTCCCCTTCAAAATATTAATGACTAATAAAGATCAAAAATAGCTTGCCTGAAGTTCAGATGTATGACATTCCCCATCTTGTGCGTTGTAGAAAATTGTGGTCTGCTTTCTTGTGGACGAACATGCCCTATATTAACAAATATATCGTCATGCATGGAAACATCTGTATGTGGAACCAAAATTCATTTGTCTAAGATATTAGGTGTTCTACCAGTGAACTACCACCGAATATTTTCATGTAAATGATGATGAGAAAGCAATATCATTTACTTAAAAAATTATGTTTTATAACATATCATAAGTTCTCTTAATATATATTTGAAAAAAGTATATAATGAAGAACTTGTTTGAAAAGAATATAGAGCACAATCTTGTCTTTCATTCTATTAATTTTTAATTAATTATAAATTTGGGGATTAGAAAAAGGTAAAGGAGAATTAAGGGGAACAGTGATAATTGAACTCACACCTAGTGATAACACCCGTCGGTAAACTATAAGCTTGGTACTTTTGACTATATAATTATGTATATGTCAGTATCTTAAGATGGAAATATGGAATTATGAGACTTACACAGAATGATCGCTACTGCGGAACTCTGAAGAAGAAGAAGACAATAGAGGGAAAAGTTGAAGGCCAATTCTGTGCTTCATCTTTATGCCTATTGTTTTCCTTTCTACTTTTTCAATTCTTGTGTCTTCATTGCCTATAAATTGAAGAAGAAATTAAAACCTTTTTCTAAATTAAAGGTTTACAATGTGGGGGAATTGCTTAGCTTATGGTGGTGGATGGCCGCAATTACTTGCACCGAAAAACAAGTAGAGCTAGAAAGACTAGGGAATATGATCTCAAAAGCTATTTATATATGTGGAAAATCCAACAAAAACATCATATTGGGGTTGCTACAAGCTAAGTAATGAGCAAATTAAACACTCTGTATGTCATCTAGCCATGTGGAACATGTTGTTCACAATTCACATGCCTAATTTCCCCTACCACCTCACCTATTCTCCCACGTGTTGATATAAAACTAGGTTTGTTGTAAATTTATTGCGTAAAATTTAATGGCACGTCTTATGTTTTGTCTCTGTTTTTAAAAAGCTTTACATACATAGTTTCTATCTTTTCTTCATATTTGTTTGCTACTCCTTCTATTTCTTCCGGATCCCTTTGAATAGGCATGAAAAGTTTAATTCATACACATTTTATTTGAATATCACGAAAATATTTTGGGTCAAGAAATAAACACATAGTAGTAGTTATTTACAAACAAAAAGTATGCTACCCAAACAGATAATTACGTTATAGTTGTGATTTTTTTCAACATAAATTAACTTGTACAAATCCGAATTAACCTAAATTTACTCTCATGATTTCACAACATTTCTCTTTCCGGACTAATATGTGAAAATTGGAATTTGATAAGAACCTCTTAATTTGTAATCCCGACAAATTTGTCTTTAGCTTTAACATTTACACTATTTATCTTAAAACAATCGTTAGTTTCCTATCAACGTTGATAAAGAATGATTCTTTTCCAAAAATAAATGGTTTGTACTTAGTTGTTTTTTTATTTTCCATAAATGGAAAATTGTTCCTAATTAGTTTATCTTTATTCCCTTTTAAGATATAAAATTCTTCCCGACTTATGGATTAGCTTGCCAAAAACAACACATTTTATACAAGTTCTTAACTTTATGTATAAAGGAAATTATAAATTTGAAAAAGGATTGGGTATTTCATCACATGAGTCATTTCCCACTTGCACATTAAAGTTTTTCGAATAAGCTTGAGTTGTCATGTTTCAACTTCTCTCGAAACACTCTCCTATTATGGAAAGTTAGTTGTTTGAAGCACCAAAAATTTACAAGTTTGTTAGGGCTTTCAGTTGCAAAGAAAAGAACCAATTATATTAGTTCTCTTTCATTTTGATGTTGACAAAAGCACCTTCGATATTTATCTAACTTAAATAATCTAATCTTTCTAATTGGAACTACTTTTATGACCATCTTTCTTAAATATCTCCACTTTGACAGCATGATATTTGAATTTCAGATAGTTGTACGTAATTCTAGTGCCATCCTTGCTTGAGCCAAAGAAGAATGCTTATTAAATCTGTCACGATCCGAGCTCATAACATGTATTGTCTGTTTTGGGTCTAGACCGACACTAGTTTATCTCGAGGGCTACACTACATCGAGCCCCAAAAGCGCACGTACTCATGTAGCCTTATAAAGCTCTTCATTTTTCTCTCCTATTCCGATGTAGGATTTGCCTACAATGACTTGTATACCCCTTCTTTAGAATCTTGCCAACCTAGAAGTTTGTCAGTCTTGCTTGCTCTCATCGGTCCGCCCTCCGTCATGGGCGTCACAAAATTGGACCTTTTTATTTCATACGTCGCGAGAAAATGAGAGGGTGCTTCCCTAATTAGATCTAAGACGATTGAAATTGTTCACTTGCGAGAGTTCAAGTTGATTAAGTTTAAAACAATATCATGGTAACCTTCATTTTTCTTATGCTAAATATTGAGAATGAAAAGTCTTATTAGAATTAAGTAACCAAAACAAATGTAAAACTTTTGGAAATCGTTAGGTTATACTTTACCAAAATAAAATTTTAATCCTACCAAAATTTATAGTGAGGGAACTTATTTAATTAGAATTTAAGTTATACACATTATTATTATTATTATTATTATTGTATAGTATAAAAATTCCGTCACTATCAATGTGAGTTTTTAGCCTATCATAGCAAGTCGGTTAATTTTTTTTTTCAAGTTACCTATTAACATATATTTTTAACCCTCTGAGTATACAAAACTTAAATTTATTGTTCAATGGTTGATAATTGGGAAAAGTGTCAAATATATCCCTCTACTTTCGGATATTGTCTATATTTAACCTCCGTCATACTGATGTAACGACCCGGCCGGTCGTTTCGAGAGTTATAGTCCTGTTTCCCCCATTTCTGCTTTCTTTTGTGCTTTTTAGCTATATTATGATATACCGGGTTAGTTGGTTCGGGTCCGGAGTGGTTTCGGAGTGGATTGAGACACTTAGTCTCTAAAGTAGAAGCTTAAGTTAGAAAAGTCAACTGGATATTGACTTATGTGTAAATAATCTCGAAATTAAATTTTGATGGTTCCATTAGCTTCGTTAGGTAATTTTGGACTTAGGAGCGTGTCCGGAATATGATTTGGAGGTCCGTAGTGGAATTAGACTTGAATTGGCAAAAGTTGGAAATTTGGCAATTTCGGTCGACAGTGAAAAATTTAATATCGGGGTCGGAATAGATTTTCGGAAGTTGGAGTAGGTTCGTGATGTCATTTGTGACGTGTGTGTAAAATTTAAGGTCATTCGGGCGTGGTTTGGATGGTTTCGGCATCGGTTGTCGAATTTGGAAGTTTAGAAGTTTTTAGGCTTGAATCCGAGGGTAATTTGGTGTTTTGATGTTATTTTGAGTGATTTGAAGGCTCAACTAAGTTTGTATGTAGATATATGACTTGTTGGTATGGTTGGTTAAGGTATCGAGGGGCTCGGGGTGATTCAGGGTGGTTAACGGATTGTTTAAAGTTGGAAAATGCAGTTGAATCTGCTGCTACTAGTATTTCCGCACCTGCGGAGGGGGAGCCGCAAGTGCGAGGTCGCAGGCGTGCATGGGAGTTCGCAGGTCTGGATGGAGTTGAAGTAGGTTGGGTCCGCAGGTGCGCAGGGGAGGTCGCATCTGCGGGTCCGCAGATGCGGATAAGTGCCCGCAGAAGCGGAAATGAGGATGTCAGTCAGCGTCCGCAAGTGCGAGGTCTTTTCCGCACATGCGTGGTCGCAAATGCGAATATGGAGCGCAGGTGCGAAGTTGGGGAAATTAATAATTTTCCGCAGGTGCGGAGTTTCTTGCGCAGATGCGGCACCGCAGGTACGCATATTTGGTCACAGGTGCAAAAGCCCTAGGCAGAAAGTATAAAAAGAACACTTCACGAATTTTGGTTTATTTCCACTATTTTCAAGTCGGTTTTTGGAGCTTTTTGAGTGATTTTGAAGAGATATTCAGGGGGTTTTCATTGAGGTAAGTTGCTTGAGCTCTAATACTCTTATCTATGGTAATTTTTCGTTGTTTAATTATTTAATTAGTAGAAATTAGCGGTGAAAATGAGGGGTTAGGGCTTGGAATTTTGGAGAGATTAATTTAAGAATTTAATGGACCAAATGATGTCGGATTTTGATAAATTTCATACGTATGGACTCGTGAGTGAATGAGCATTCGGGTTTTGTAACTTTTGTCAGATTTTGAGATGTGGGCCCAGGAGGGAGTGAGTGAATATCGAGATTTGGCCTATAAATTGGTATTTTCTTGTGGGATTCATTCCTTTAGCTCATATTGATTGTATTTTATTGCTTGTGGCTAGATTAGGGTCATTTGGAGGCCGATTCGAGAAGAAAGAGCATTTTGGAGTATGAGTTCTACACTGTTGAGGTAAGTAACAGTTTTAAATCTGGTCTTGAGGGTATGAAACCCGGAGTTTGGTATAATATAACTATTTGGAGGTGGCACCTATGCAGGTGACGGGCGTATGGATGTAGGCCGTGAGGGATTGAGACTTAGTCCGTCCCCAGAGACTGTGAAGCCTAATAACCTTTATTTGTGTTTATATGCATTCATGTTTACTAGAACTTGATTGTGTTCATGTTAGAAATCATGTTTAAGCTATATTCCTGGTCATGGTAGTTATACTCAGTCATAGTGATTCTTGTACATGTTTACCTCAATCTATGTTATTTGTTTTCCCTGATGATATACTGTAACACTTTGATTTGGGATGTTTTCCCTTTCTTTATTGAGAGTTGTGAGACTAGAGAGGTTCATGACTGAGTAAGGCTGAAGGCCTGGTCGTGAGGTATTGTTTTATGGCACGTGAATTGTCCGTGCGGATCCTTATATTTATACTATGGCACGTAAGTTGTCCGTGCAGCACGTAAGTTATCCGTGCGGATCCAGATATGATATTATAGCACGTGAGTTGTCCGTGCAGCACGTGAGTTGTCCGTGCGGATTAGCGCTTGGGTTGTAGGAGCCCCTCATGAGTCTGAACACCCATAGTGAGCGCAGGTACCTATTGAGAGTGTGCATTGAGGGCTGAGAGCCGAGAGTGTGAGCTGTTGAGATGGGTTGAGTGACTGATGCCTTGAGAGGTTGTACTTGCTTTTATTTATTGTTGCACTTTGTTGTTATTTGTTATTGTTGTGAAATTTCTGGAAGATTCATATCTGTTTTACATGAGCGCGAACTGATTTGACTTATACCACATGATTTGAAAGCATGTTCACTCTTTAGTGAAAACTTTTAAAATGAACTGTACAGTATAGTTCGTCACTGCCTCTCAATTACTTATTTATTTTTGTTACTTGCTGAGTTGGTTATACTCATGCTACACCCTGCACTTCATGTGTAGATCCAGGTATGTTTGATCACGGAGGTTGTTGAGTTCAGGTCTATTTGAGTTTCGGAGACTGCAAGGTAGCTGCCAGTGTCCGCAGTACCTTGTTACTCCTTCCATATTTTGTTTCATTTTGTATTGATATTTAGACATTGACTGTAAATAGTTTTAAATACTTAAACTCTCATGACTAGTGACACCCCAATGTTTGAGACTGGTTTCCGCATTTTGATTATATATTGAGTTTAGCTTTAATTTTATGAAAAAATCCCGATATGGAAAGCTTTACTTTACTTTTATATTTAGTTTGGAAGTATTTTTGGGGAAGGTCGGCTTGCCTAGTACCACCGATAGGCGCCATCACGACGGGTTAGATTTTGGGTCGTGACAACTATCCGACCAAATTTATCCCTACCGT